CTGGCTAGAAATCCACTTTGTCTGCAAATAGAATAGCTACTCCTGCTTTTTTCTGGATTCCTGTCATGTTGAGTACTGTTTTCCATCAGTCCATGAATCTATTTTGAGTTAAATGTGTTTCTTGTATGTAGCATGTTATTGGATCTTGTTTGTTTGTTTGTAGCGGGAATTGAACTCAGGACCTTGTGTTTGCCAGGCAGGTGCTTGTGCTGCTAAGCTATATCCACAGCCCTGGATCTTGTTTCTTAATCCATTTTGCCAGTCTGTTTCTTTTGATTGATGAATTAAGATGATTCACATTAATAGTTATATCAGATAGACACTGACTTCTCCTTGTTATTATATTATTTCCCTGTTGTTGGTTCTCTTTCTTTCTCTTCTATTTAATGGCTTGCTTTGCGTGGTGCATTCATTCTATTGGGATTCTTGGAACTGCTGTCCTTTTTCTAGAGTATCTTTCAGAACTTTCTGGAGTGCTAGTTTGGTGGTCATGAATTTCTTTAGGTGCTCTTTATCATGGAAGTATCTTATGTCTCCATCAATTTTGAAAGACATATTTGCAGGATATATCAGTCTGGGTTATTTCCTTTTAGGGCTTGAAATACTTTGATCCAAGCTCTCCTTAAGAGTTTGAGTTGAGAAGTCTGCTGTGATTCTGATGGGTTTTCCTTTATCTGTGATGTTATGGCTTGTATCTGGATGTCCCCTAAAGTCTCATGAAGTCATAGGTGGAGCTTTTTGGAGGTGCCTGGATCTAAGGTGGGTGATTCTGGGATTGATTCATGGTGCAATGCTATGATTAAGATTGCCCCACTCTGGGTGTGAGTGCTACCTACCATACAGGTAGGTACGTACCATACAGGTAGGCTACCTACCATAAAGGCCTTTGGATATGTGCCAAAAATGTAAGGGATAGAAAAAGGGTCACTTCTTGTCACTTGCTGTTTGCTGCCTCTGCCTCCCTGTCTGCTCTGGGATACCCCTCTGCCATGCCACCCTGCCTTGGAGCCAGCCAACTATGGACTGAAACCTCTATAAACTGTGAACTGAAATAAACTTTCCCTCCTTTAACTTTGGGTTTTGGGTATTCTGTCTCAGTAATGAGAAAAGTAACTAAAACAATTGATTTGTTTATTTTCTCTAAAAGCTTTTAATATTCTGCTCTTGTGTTGAATTTGTGGAATCTTGACTATTATATGCCTTGGTGTAGTTTTTTTGATCATGGCTATTTGGGGTTTTATATGCCTCACTTATCCAATTCTTTTTCCATTCTTGGAAAGTTTTCTGCTCTTACTTATGTGAACAAGTTTTTTTATGTCCTCTGTGCTGTTTTGATTTTTCATTCATTCCACTTAATCTTATGTTATTATTCTTTGCATTACCTAGAAGCTGCTGGGTTGATTTTTCTTTCTTTCTTTCTTTTTTTTTTTTTTTTTTTTTTTTTGGTACCAGGAATCAAACTCAGGACCTTGTGCTTACCAGGCAGGCGCTTATGCCGCTGAGCTATATCCCTGGCCCTGGGTTGATCTTTCATGGTCCCTTGATATTGGTTGGCTCTGCTGCATATACTTTCAATAGCATTTTTAATCTCCTGGATATCTATTTGCATCTATTTTGTGGCATCCAATTCTTCCCTATGCTGAGCATTCATGGTTTCCTTGTCTTTCCTAACCTCCTCTATTTTTAAAAAAAATCTGTATTGACTCTAGTTTTACTAACCATTTCTGTTATTATGGCCATATCTTTAATTATCTTGTAATTATTTCTGTGCTGATTTTGTTAAGAGAGTTATTCATTTGTTACTTTGGCTACTACCATTTCAGAAAGTTCAACTGGGTGGCTTTTGGTTTCTTCCACCTCAACGCCCCCTGAATTTGCCTTGGGCAAGTTGGGAGTGGTGGGTTGCATCTTGCTTTTGTGTTTTCTCATTTTCTATTTTCTGTTTGTTTATTTGATTTCTGCTTTGAGGCTTGTAAATTGCTTATGGTGAGTTTATTACTAGTTTATAACTAGTATTGAGACCTCTTAAGGAGATGACTACTTTTCAGAGATGTCTTCTAGGTATAGCTGGTTTTTGGCCTTTGGATATGTGCCAGTATCATGGTCCTCAAGTGGACATATAAACCCCTCATTTGGATCAGTGTCCA